TAGAAAGAGGTTCCCCAGCCACATTGCTTGAATGTCATGCTACTTCAACATTTCATTATCTACCTAATTAAAAGTATGAAAAGCTGGTACAATAACATAGTAAATAGCATACGAAAGAGACGTGAGAACCCCCGTCCAGCGGGGATGTCCCGAAGGCCGAAAGAATCGATGATGCTAAATCCTGAAATATAGCTTCGCCGCCTTCAAAAAGCGCAGTACAGCTGCTTGGGCTGAGAGCACGTCTTCAAGCATGTCCCGTACGCTGTCGGACAAACTGTGGAGGCCTCCGTCGAAGGGATATGGAAAATTTCACAGGTCTTCCTGAAAGGTCCTCCGCTGAAATCCCGTGTGATTAAAGCGTGTCCTGTCCGGAGCCTGGAAAAAAATCCTCTGGTCTCGCAGGTTCGCAAGGTCCGTCCACTTTCCGATGTCGCCTTTGATGTTTCTAATGAACGGAAGTCTGCCCACGCTGTCCGCACTGTGCAAGTGATCCATCTCTTCACGTCTTGGAAGGGCACCTTTTGCGAGTACCGAGGAAAAGATGGCTCTGACTTGGCTAAGTTGTCCGATGCGATGTTTCCTGGGATCCCACAGTGTCCGGAAATCCATATGTAGGTAGTGTTTAGTGGCGCATCTTTCAGGATGCCCTGGATCCAGGGGTGGACTGGGACCTCCGACAAAAGAGTCTGAATAACACTGTGGAAGTCCGACAGGACCAGGATTGGACGATCCGCATGACCCGTGACCGCATGAAGAATAGCCGCTGCGATCTACTAGGGCTACGAAATTGTTCCCGGCTCTGAACTTCTCCTTTATCCGGTTGTCGATGTTTGGTGCGGGAAATTACCAACTCTCCGTATAAGTGAATCTTGGCGACTGGGGGAGCTCTGCGTTGACGATTGTACGGAGAACTCTGTCCCCCTCGCTGCGACGGCAAGTTCTGTCGTTTCCGGCGGTATTTGATGAAAATGCAGCGGCTTTGTTGGCAATGGCTGCGTAGATTTAATTTTTTTAAGTCAACTAAACAACCTAACCAATTCAAATGAAGTCAAGGGTTTGTTCGTAACTTTCATCAAAAACTACAAGGGACAGCCTCACGGAGTTGTACGAAATGGTGACGTAGGACTACGTGGTCTTATATAATAAATGTTATTTGTTAACTGCAGCAGGAGCTTTGTTTTGTGGGTCTCTCTCTGTTTATACTCTTTAGTATGACTATGATTGCCCTGAAAAGAACCTTTTGATATGAACTTTAGTTGGGACATGTTCAGAAATTTAACTCTTTTGGAAAATATTGGTGGCCCTGAAAAAGGCCGATGGTAGAACAGTCTTAAAGCCTATGGAAAATGATGGTGACGTGTAGGCAGCTGGATCAGAAAATTGGATCGGATAATCAATGATTGGGCACTCGCAAGAGTCTCGGCCCGTCTGCTGCTGGACACGGGTTGACTAGGTAGCTGTGACGGGTTGGCAGCACGCAGTGAAGGATACCTCAACGACGAATGGGCACTCAGTTGCTTCAGGATTAGAAGCTTGATTGCTACCGTTTTGCTGGTTCCTTTTGTTCTACTTCCACACAGGGGTAGTTGCTTTGTTGGTTATGTGACTAGATGAGATCATCAGATGATCAGACCAGAGATACGTTTGACACCGCCACGGCGAGCCAGACGAAGGATGGCGCGCTTGGTAATACCCTGGATATTATCACGAAGAACCTTGCGATGACTCTTGGTGCCTCCTTTACCAAGACCTTTTCCTCCTATGCCACGACCAGTCATTTTTGCTTGTTAGGTAGAGGAATGAACCTAACCTGCCACCACCTTCCTACTGCTGCTATTGCTGCTTCTGCTGTCTGCTCACGCCGTCCGAAGCGAAAATGAGTTTAGGCTGTACAGCAGCGCTCTTTTGTATCTTTTGAGGTTAAAGCCGAATGAGGTGCAACCAAGTGGTACTCGATTATGACGACTGGGTTTGGGAAGAACGTTTATTTTATGAAAACAGTGATAAAATCATCACTTTTTCAATAGTTTCTTGTTGCAAAGCAATGCTATCGATGCGTAGAAATATTTCTGATCGATAGGTGATAAAATTATTGAAATTGGACCAAGGGCAGCTAAGCTATTAACGTTCAAAATCTTTCATTATTTTGTTACATGTTCCATTTTTGGTTTTCACAAAGTGTACCCCCATATAGAAATCACAGACAAAGTCCTACGTCAAAAAAATTTGACAAATTGTTGATCAAAACTGTCACACTGTTGACTACTTTCCCGTCCACCATCCATCGTAGTCTTGATTATTCTGGTCAGTTTCCTAGGAAGCATAAATCTGGTTCAGAACGGAAGAGGAATGAAATTTTCTATGAAATAAATACGTTTATTAAACATTTTTTTCTAAAAATTATTCTGAAATAAATAAGAGAACACATTTTGGTTAATAATCTATAAAATTTATCGTCAAACAAACTTGGAAATAATGGACGTAATTTTCAAGGAATGGTTGAAACATTGTGAGAATTTGTAACAGAGGGAGGAGGGGCGGTTAATTTTGGCCAAATTGTGTGGCACATAATTATTGTACGCTTCCATTGCTCAAATGGACATGGGTTTTTTGGCTTCACGTCCCCAAATCCGATGGTAGAAGACAAACTTTTTTGCATAGTGTACATATGATATCAATACTTTGATTGGAACAATATTTGCACTTTTGGCCATTTGAGTAATGATTCATATGCATGTTATTGCCTTTTTGCATCACAGTTTGTTCTATTTTTGTTGAAATTTTAATCACACCAACAGTAGTGCAATTTCCAATCGAAGAAAAGTTACACGAACTGCGAATTAAACATTAATTTCACGAGGACGGTCTTGGTATAGTGGGTAACATCCATACATCTTACGCAAAACTCTCGAGGTCAAGTCATATCCCCGGACAAGTTATGAATGACCCAAGAGTGTTAAAGTGTAAAAAAAGCCTATTTTCTAGAGTCACGCCAAGAGTGAACATACAACAAACTAGCTACCTATTTATTCGTAACGTTAGATTTGTTACAGAGTCACAAATTGTTGAGATATTGTTAAAAATCTAATAGTGCTTCTTGATTCAAATTCCGTCATACGAGTTTCAAGTCCATCCAACCTCATTGGATTTTCTTCGTCATACGGAGGAAAAATGATTCGCTAGGAGCCTTTCTTTTGTTTTTGAGAACAATGAGTGTAAATATTAATTCTTTAAGCTCTTATAGGCTTTGTTTTGTAGCATTTGAACTGTAGTAGCGAAACAAACGTATTATTGATTTGTGCACGTTGAAATTCTACTCGAAATAACGGAAATAGGCGATTACGACCATGCACCTGCGTTTTAATACGGCATACCGATGGAGACGCAATGTCACTTGTAGAACTATAAAACTATGTTAGAACAATAGCAGTAGGTATCAATCAAAATAATTTTCAATTTTAAATTTTTTAACTTCATCTATTAACATCAACAGAGGATTTGTGCATCTCTATCTTCCCTACACCACCACGTGCAAACCTCAACGCTGGGCGCTAGTATCTATTCCATTAATATGTTCAAGTGTACTTTGCTTTCTACATCCATCGATACACGTTCGCCGTCGTTCGCCGTCGCCGTCGTGGTCGTCGTCGTGTAGGGTATACATTCCAATTGGATCGTGCGCCGTACGACCAGTATGTATACTAGGGTGGGTCAAGTTTATATGGCAAGTCAGAAGCGCCTGCTTTCCATTGGTATTTCGAAGTGTATTTAGGTCCCTAACAACTGTGTCAAATTTGAACGAATCGGGTTTCGATTTGGATTTGTGAGATCACTTTAAGCCATACCTAGGAATTAGATTGAATAAACTATTCGGGAAAACTTTGTCGAAGACCGCAAATCGATTCGACTTCGGTGCAAACATTTATTAATCATTTATTTTTGTCCAAGTGCGCCCCTTATACATCTGTAGGTATGCGCGGTGCTCCTGACCAGTAGTAAGGCTGTGTTCCCTTTGGTTAATTTGAATTTTAAATTTGACACATCGAAAATATATTACAATGTTCGATACTTCCTCTGTTGTTGATCGTTTGATTTTCGAGAAGGTGTTTGTCAAAATTGTCTGTCAGAAATAAATTTGGTATCGTATACCAGGTTTATTTAAAAATTTTCGAACTGTCAAATTTAAGTGAAAATTCTCCAAATGGAACACAGCATAAGTTGTTAATAACTTTTTGCACAGAAGTTTATTGAAGTTATTTACATTTATATTAGAAGTTATTGGGCAATATTGAACAAAGTTTGAGTTTTTGGCAGTTTTTCCCCTAAATTTTCTCATACACAATTTAAAGTGCTCTTGTAAATCCAGATCGCTTTATCACGTTCAAATTTAGCCCAGTCTTTGATAACCTCAAAATGAACCAAAAGAGCAGTGATGAGCAGAGGGTTGCAACGTTGACCCACCCTAATGTATACACAACAGCTCCTCGGTTTGCCTTGGATCGACCTAAGATTGTGTGTAGCGTAGGTAAATCTCCATGCGAGGTTTAGTTGCATTTGGATTTCGACACGAGCAAGGCATATCTCGTATACAAGACACACCAAAAAGGTGGGTGCCCATGGCCTGCCTCCAGCCTACAACACTGACTGCAGGAGCCTTCGCAAGTGCAGAACTTTCACTCCGGAGGGTCTGTTCCTAATCAGGTCCCAACGCCGTAGATCGATCGGTTGAGGTCCGTCGTTTGTCGCGTTGTCATCGTCCGGTGTTTAGACGTAGTAGGCGCGAATCTGCGGTCACTTATTTCGAGCAGGTGTTCTATTTTTAGGGCTGTGTGAAACATGGCACTTGAGACAAAATTGTCTCTAGTCGACAATTAATGATGGGCTAGCAGCAGAAAGAGTTTTGTGAATCACGTAGAGAGTGGACAGAAGAATCTGTATTAGTGTGAATCCCTGATGAGTCCAAAATCAAGTGTTTGTGTGTACATATCTTACTTTTCGTATTTTACTATCCACCACTTGGGCTCTGTGGCAATGAAACGTAGCCTACTAGGTGTAGTTTAGAGTGTCTGCGGTGTTTTGCAGAGGTGGTTCCATGTAGCTCCAGTCACAAATTAGGAGTTTTGAAGCGAGAAATTATCGTTCATTGACTTGAGGAAGAGAGTGCGGTTTCAATCAAAAGCTGCAGTGATAGATAGATGCACGTACTAGAGTGTGTGTAGCTTTAAAACAACAAACAAAACATGTTTCCCACCCACACAGCGCAAAGCAGAATGAAAGCATTGCACTGTATTCTACCCACCCAACGCACACTACTGCGATGGGTCGTCTTTTTTATGTTTCTTTTTCCCGATTCAGCATAAAATGTTGCAATTGTTTCCTTGGTGATTTCGGCATCTGGTGGGATGAACACCCGTCTCGGACCGTCATTCGTCTAATGCTTTAATATTTAATGTTATGACTGCTTTTAGCACTTGTAAAAATCGATCGCCTATGGGGAAATGGATCGCAAAACTTGTCAGTCACGTTTCATCGCTAGTATCGCGGAAGATTCCTTAGACGGGAGGAATTCCATTCAGTTAAAAATCCGAGAAGTAATATGATTCACAACGTGTGCGCTGAGTGCGAGCGTGAGACGGACCAGAAAGAAAGAAATCTAGACTATGTTTACTATATGTGCGTGTTTTGTCTTTCCAAGTCTATGCAGTAGTGCGCGGAGATTGCAATGGTTGATTTAGTGGAGAATCAGAGCGTATCGAGTCATCATTGCTGCCGACGTCTCTGCAAAATCGTTCAATCTAGTAATCGTTGTTTTCCAGAGAACTGCAACAAGGCCACCTATGTTGGCATGTGGAGAATGTGCTTGTAAAAAGGCGATCGCAAAGAGTGGGATTAGTCTTTTTGTAAAAATAAAAAAAAAGAAACAAGAGAAGAGAAAGATTAACAACTACATACAGGCTTAGCAATGCAGGACAGTGTTAACGTGTTGAACGATGGTGATGACGGTTCTAATCCTACGGAAGCGAGAAATGGCAACGATATCGATCTGAACAGCGCGAACGAAGACAGTTTCCGGGAGAAAATCAGCGAATGCATTCGCATTAAGCAAAGCCTAGGCGCCTCGTCGTTTGCCAGTGATAGAAATATTCGACCCGCTTCCTTACCAATTAAAAAGTGTTTCAATTACAACGAAGATGGTGCTGGTGTTGGTAGTAGCAATGGCAAAGTGGACACTCAAGGCGAATTAAGCTTGCAGGGGCTGCTGAATCAGTCGCGAGCCGAGACGGCAACGACATTCCTCAGCCCAAGTGAAGGCCAATTTTGGAAGCGCTATGCTGAGGTGTCAAAGTTCACGAAAGACAATAGCAATAGCAGCAGCGGTGGTGGTGGTGAATGGGCTGCGAAGAACCGTCGAAGGTAAGTCCGCTACGGTCCATGAAGCGCTGAACGCTAGAATGACTGATTCGTTCCTCCCGTTGCAGATCGGATACATCGTTTATGTTAGCGAAGCAGCGATTATCGTCTTTTGGTGTAGGAGAGCATACGACAAATGCCGAGACAATGGACGATGATTTAGCGCCGCTCTTGCCCAGTAAAAGAGAGCTGTCGCAGGAGGACATCTATCAAGTAAGTTGTCGTGACGGCCTCTTTAGTTAATGGAAGTTTAGTACAATGGAGCTATTAGCGGGGTGGATGAGTTGGGGGTTGGGTGGGAGGTGGTGATTACAATTATACTAATCTTGTTTGGAAAAGTTGTCAGAGTAGGTAATCCAATAATCGTGGCTTACTTTGCGTGGTTTTTCGCCAACAACCAACGCCTACTGTGGTAATGTGGGTGCAACTTGTGGAATTCAGGGACGAAGGAAGAATTAAAAAAAAGTGCACAAATTAGGCAGCAGGCATCGACATTGGCTGAATGGTCAATGCTTGAGGAGTAATACGATTTCCTAGCTATTAGCTATTGCTTTCGTTATTCGAATTGATGAACTAATGGGCTGTTACGATTTAGTAAGCAAATATTATTGCTGACAGCTTTGAGATTCCTTCTTTTTGGATAAAAAAAATGTTTTGAGCTTTAATTCCATTCCAATTAGGTTTAATTCTTTCTACGATTCGATGCCGAGCCATCGCCCGGAGGAAATTCCCATGAATGGAATGTTCTATTCGGTGATGAATTATTAGACCGAACGACATTACGCTAAATGCCATTAGGCAGAATGGGTCACTAGGCCGAGTTTCATTAGGTTAATGGGTTGAGAATGGGTTATTTGGCAGTAATTTTAATAAGTGTTCCCATTTCATTATCTGGTAGCTGTATTGTTCCGATAGCAGCAAAATGAAGGCATATATTGGAGCATACTTCATCCAAGATGTTACAAATTATTGCTTCAATGTACCTCGAAACAACCGCTCATATTTAAAAGAAGTAAAAATCTCCTATGAAATATATTTAACAAGAATTTTTTTTCAGCTAAGCCCATTTAAACTCAAAAGAACTGTTCAGCTGTGAAAGATGGAGACTAGACTGATGCAAAATTTGAAATTTTCGCTTCACAGTGCTCAAACGGTTCCAAATTGGGTCTTTATAAACTTCCCAATATTTGAACTCATTTAGTGAGAAACTGACTTGGCACAAACCATTTGAAGATTATACGGAAAACCCAAATTTGTTGTTCATGTATATCCAACAATTCACCATATCGCTTTGCTTTAAAAAATGATACCTTTGCTGGTACAAAAATTTTACAGCTACAACTTTGTTGAAGACCACTTTTCGATAAAATGCAAGGAACTAAAGTTATTAATGATGGCTGATGTCTTATGATTATGCTCAATTGGAGTTTCTAGCGCCTACAGTGTTGCCCACAAAACAGCTGCTTGATCATGTCAAAATGTGTTCAGTCTCTTAAACAATTAATAACTATTTAAATTGATGATTGGCTAAAAAACCTATACTGTGCAAAGTTGTAGCTGAAAAAAAAATTACATAAGAATAGCTATAGAACTTTTTAGCAGTATAATATGGAAAAAGGCTAGAAGACAATGAACAATAAGTATGGATTTCCCATAGTATGTTCCATATAAACTTCAAATGGATTGTGCAAAGTTGTGCGTTCACATTTTGGGATGTTCATCAGTACCTAACAGTCTCAGAGTGTTGGAGACTGTCTCAAAGAATAGTCTGATTTCAATATATCACTTTTCTAGTTTTGTGCTAATAAACCATTCGGCTTAATGGCTTTTGACATAATGACCCATTCGGATTAATGTCCTTTGTTCTAATGGCATTTGGCTTAATGGCTCTACACCATTCTATTCATTTAATTAGAAAAAAAGTTACTTACATCCATTAGCTGAACTATCCTTTTTACAAATTTCCAATCTATCGCATTCATTTCATTCAAATTACTGAACCTCTCGAAAACAGTGGGCAATTAATAATTTAATTCAAGCAGTTTAAAATGACGTATCCTTACCACCATATTTTGAGATCAAAGTAGCCAAAAGTGGTGCGTTTCATAATAAAATAATAATTGATTGGTCCAGTTTTGTGAAATCGTTGGTGGAAAATCACGCTAAAACTGCTTGACGAAGAGGTTCACCCAATTAAAAAAAATAATTCTAGCAGTTCAAAATGACGTTTATTAATCGTCGTAGTGTGGGTTTGCTACGCCCTTGACAAACCGTGAAAATCGGAAGTTATTAAAGTTTTAAAACCTTTCGATCCGCATCATGCTCGTGGCATCTAGCCGTAGCCGAGCCTCGTAGCTTCCGTAACTAAATGTCCACGGGTTTCACCTTATACGCTGCCCTTCTACTTGTAGCTTATAAAGGTCACCTAGTTGGACACGATCGAAACGAAATATCCGTTTGTATCTAAATTTGGAGCGAGTTTACATACATTTCACAGGAGATTTTGAAACTTCCCATGTGGACATTATGGTCCATTAGGTATGTATTCATTGGTAGTGAAACCAATTATTTAATCCTGAAGAAACCGATCGAGTTGGAACCATTGAGTTAGAAAGAGGGATGAACTGGCTTCTTCTGATTTTTAACCGTTCAAAAATGCTCCATTTTCGCAAAGACAGTAATTATAGATCAATGGTTGGATAGGTACTATGGATTTACCTTACCTCGATTGACTTTCCACTTAACAATAATTAGCCTTGTAGATGTAAGATGATACCTCTATTGCAAATCCAACGACCCATTTCAAATATGATTGCACGCAGAACAAATTTCTCTTACATACAATGTAATGTTGAATTTATTACATCCTCTGCATATGTTTCATACAACAAACGTAATGACAGTTTTTGTAATGGATTTTAACGACCCAGCAAGTTTTTTCAGAATAAATATTTTTGTAAAAAATTTCACGGGACGATTAGATTAGATTAGAAATATTTAGAGGGAGAGATGGGCGATACTCCAATTTGATATATATGCACCGTCAGTTCGTTATATCACTATGAATGTGAGTGATAGTCGCACTATGACTATGCATTTCACCCCAAGAAGGTATAACTTCCTTAATGAAGTTCGTTGCAATATTTTGTTCAGTAGACCATTAGGCATTAGGACACCCTTACCGAGAAACCGGAGTCTTCGCTGAATTAATGCACTACATGGACACAGTCCAAAGTTTCAACTTCAAAATTACAGAAGGGACATATATCATCTATCAGCTTACTTATTTTTCTAAGATGATATTTGCTTGGACAGTGTCCGATGAATAGACCAGTCAGCGTACTCAGATCTATTTTTTTTCAAACGAAGTAGGCTGCGTGTGATTCTATTACAAGGTGTAATTAATCTTTTTGATTGTCGTAATGCTGAAAGAGCTCTCCAATTGGAATCAATCATCGATGATTCCCAGATTCTAAGCTCGGATTTTAAGCAGGGTGTAGATACCCCACAAAATGGCTGAGGTCCGATGAAATCAGTCGAAGAGCCAATTCTTGCTAAAGAATCGGCTATTTCATTACCCTCTATACCACAGTGACCAGGTACCCAGTATAGGTTAACACTATTAGTTGTAGCCAGCTGTTTCAAGGATGCACTCCCAAACGAGCTTCAAGGAACAACTCCCAAACTTTGACTGGCATGTGTATACTTTTAAAGCATTCAGTGCTGCTTAACTATCAGGGAAAATACAGATATTGGCATGTCTGTATTTTCTAGTCAAACAAATATTTGTACATGTTAAAATAGCATGTCCTAATCCAAGATATTTCACATTGATGATCACAGTCAAGCAGACCAGTTTTGGTGAGATCATTCCATTTTTATCTATAAATTAGGAATTTTTGAAACATTGGAAGGCATTTGGTTGGATCCTTCAATTATACTATATTGTATAGGCCATTCATTGCATCACATATGATTGTTGGATTCACTCTCACATGGCTCGGAGCGTTTGGTACGGTATGTCCACGCATCCTTCTAACCTAACGCGTTATCTAACCTAATCATTTTCCAGGATGCTTTCTTGTACTGGCTGCATTTGTATTAGATTAGATTAGATTAGATTAGATTGGATTGGATTGGATTGGATTGGATTGGATTGGATTGGATTGGATTGGATTGGATTGGATTGGATTGGATTGGATTGGATTGGATTGGATTGGATTGGATTGGATTGGATTGGATTGGATTGGATTGGATTGGATTGGATTGGATTGGATTGGATTGGATTGGATTGGATTGGATTGGATTGGATTGGATTGGATTGGATTGGATTGGATTGGATTGGATTGGATTGGATTGGATTGGATTGGATTGGATTGGATTGGATTGGATTGGATTGGATTGGATTGGATTGGATTGGATTGGATTGGATTGGATTGGATTGGATTGGATTGGATTGGATTGGATTGGATTGGATTGGATTGGATTGGATTGGATTGGATTGGATTGGATTGGATTGGATTGGATTGGATTGGATTGGATTGGATTGGATTGGATTGGATTGGATTGGATTGGATTGGATTGGATTGGATTGGATTGGATTGGATTGGATTGGATTGGATTGGATTGGATTGGATTGGATTGGATTGGATTGGATTGGATTGGATTGGATTGGATTGGATTGGATTGGATTGGATTGGATTGGATTGGATTGGATTGGATTGGATTGGATTGGATTGGATTGGATTGGATTGGATTGGATTGGATTGGATTGGATTGGATTGGATTGGATTGGATTGGATTGGATTGGATTGGATTGGATTGGATTGGATTGGATTGGATTGGATTGGATTGGATTGGATTGGATTGGATTGGATTGGATTGGATTGGATTGGATTGGATTGGATTGGATTGGATTGGATTGGATTGGATTGGATTGGATTGGATTGGATTGGATTGGATTGGATTGGATTGGATTGGATTGGATTGGATTGGATTGGATTGGATTGGATTGGATTGGATTGGATTGGATTGGATTGGATTGGATTGGATTGGATTGGATTGGATTGGATTGGATTGGATTGGATTGGATTGGATTGGATTGGATTGGATTGGATTGGATTGGATTGGATTGGATTGGATTGGATTGGATTGGATTGGATTGGATTGGATTGGATTGGATTGGATTGGATTGGATTGGATTGGATTGGATTGGATTGGATTGGATTGGATTGGATTGGATTGGATTGGATTGGATTGGATTGGATTGGATTGGATTGGATTGGATTGGATTGGATTGGATTGGATTGGATTGGATTGGATTGGATTGGATTGGATTGGATTGGATTGGATTGGATTGGATTGGATTGGATTGGATTGGATTGGATTGGATTGGATTGGATTGGATTGGATTGGATTGGATTGGATTGGATTGGATTGGATTGGATTGGATTGGATTGGATTGGATTGGATTGGATTGGATTGGATTGGATTGGATTGGATTGGATTGGATTGGATTGGATTGGATTGGATTGGATTGGATTGGATTGGATTGGATTGGATTGGATTGGATTGGATTGGATTGGATTGGATTGGATTGGATTGGATTGGATTGGATTGGATTGGATTGGATTGGATTGGATTGGATTGGATTGGATTGGATTGGATTGGATTGGATTGGATTGGATTGGATTGGATTGGATTGGATTGGATTGGATTGGATTGGATTGGATTGGATTGGATTGGATTGGATTGGATTGGATTGGATTGGATTGGATTGGATTGGATTGGATTGGATTGGATTGGATTGGATTGGATTGGATTGGATTGGATTGGATTGGATTGGATTGGATTGGATTGGATTGGATTGGATTGGATTGGATTGGATTGGATTGGATTGGATTGGATTGGATTGGATTGGATTGGATTGGATTGGATTGGATTGGATTGGATTGGATTGGATTGGATTGGATTGGATTGGATTGGATTGGATTGGATTGGATTGGATTGGATTGGATTGGATTGGATTGGATTGGATTGACGCGCCACGCTTTTGGCTCCTAGTTTACTCCATCCTTATGGGGAATAAAATTTCGGCCTATCATTAGGCGCGGTCGTCCATTTCGAAAAGAAAAGGCCGCGGGAAACTTTGTGCAAAGACCCCTTTTGAAAGAAGAAAAGTCGCGTGGTGAATCAAAGCCACTGATTGTTAAAATATGATTATTGGGTTCTGCCCACTCCAATTCCACAGCGCGCACACATCTTAACTAGTCAGTCCTTGCTCAAAACTAAAACATTTATTCTTGCTAAAACTTCAATAGATTTATATTATTAAATTAAATCCCAACCACGGAATGAACGAACTAAATACCTTAATGAATTCTTTCAGTCACAAACATCGTTGGTCTCCAGCTCGGAGGGCGGCATCCTAGCCGAGGGGGAGGAAACGTCCAGTGAATCGCAGGCATCGGACAATTCACGCAGTCCGGCATGTGTTCTGGGTCTAGTCGAACGGTTACTGCGAACCCACCCGGTTTGGTTTCTACCGGGAATCCAGCGTTCCGGTGCCGTTCATCTACTGCAAGGAAAAGAGGAAGGGGTAATGTTTGTTCAAATGTTTTAACAATTATATTTCAACTAACAACGCATTTGATTCCGTAGAATTTCATTGTTCGTGGTTCCAGTCAGTCGAAAACCATGGCCGTCTCCGTTCGTCTTCCCCTGGAAACCGGTCCGTACATTGAGCACTACTTGATTCAATCGAACGATGGCCTACTGAGTTTGGAAAGCTCGCGCTTCAAATTCGACTCCATCCCAGCGCTCATAGCCCACTACTCGCAGTGTTGTGATGAACTACCGGTACAACTGTGTCTTCCGAAAGCACTGCGAGAAGCGAGAAACCGGCAGCAGCTTTCCTCGCTAGCATTGCTAGGGCAGGAATTCTGGCGATACCCTATGGCATCGCCAAAACCGCGAACCGTACTATCAGCCAATTCTAGTCACCTGAACACTCCTTCCGATGCAACACAGTCCAGCGGCATCGGCTTGACGTTCAACAACAATAGGAATCAGTCGAGTTTCAACAATTTCGGTCCGGATAGTATCAATCCCAACTTTGTCGGGCCTGGCGAAACTCCCACGGATACGATATCGACGCTGAGCAGCTTCACAATTGGACCGGGTCATCAACTTATGAGTCCGGAGTCGATAGACAGTGCAGTGGTAGTTTCTCCATCAGATCCGAATCAAACCGGAATAATCGGGAAAACCAGCACCTTCAAATCGAAGCGACCGCTGCCTTCACCAACCGTGGTTTCCTGCGATGTTGAGAAGCAGATTGAAATCTTCAATGCCAACTTGTTTGGCAGCACGGATTCTAGGATAAATGAAACAATGAATTCCGGTACCTTGGAACGGCAGCTTAAGACTCCGCGGCCTACACCGCCCAATACTCTGAACATAAAACCCATAAGGTGAGTAATTTTATTCGTCTTGTGATTTAAGCCGCTGAGCATGGTTTTCAATTTTATTTTGTAGAAGTCCTCCGGCACCGCCTGCTAGGCGACTGAAGCCACCCAGTGCTGCCAGTACACCGAACGATTCCAATTCAATGTTTTCCAACAATATCACCGTGACAACGACGGTAACATTCAGCGTCGACAACCACACGAATGCGCAAATCATTGAACTGGTATCGCCTAATGAGAATAACAATAACGGTACCGGTAAAAGTTTTACAACGGTGAGGACTGCATTCGGGAATCAATTCACGATCGATGATTTCATATTAAATGTTCAGTTCCAGAGTTCCTTGAAGCGTCTTCCACCGGACGGAGAGTGTCATATTCCTGGTTCGTTCCTCAAGAACCAGGAAATAGATGACAGGACATCCGACACATCGGAGAGTAATCTCATGGCTATTCAATCACCGTTGGGCAGCAATGGAAATCCGTTATCGTTTCGGAAAAATACTAAGATGGAGTCCAGTTCCGGTTTGTTCCATTCGACGCGTACTAGCAGGCGCAGCAAACGGAAGGAGTCGAAACATTATCAGGTATTTCATTAGATTAAAATTCATGTTTTGGAATAAATGCTTACCTTAGTTTGTTTGTTTTTAAAGGAATCCGATATTTTGGAATCCCCTTCGGTGTACTGTCGAAGCAATCTGGGTGATAAAATCAGTGATTATGAAGACCTGTGGACGCAGGACAGCAACGGGAATACCACACTCATAAAAGTGGATAAAATGTCTAGTTTTAAGACCGTTCACGATTTGCTATCACCAGGTAGAATTTTGAAGCATAAATTTCGATCAAAGTTAATTTTAATTCTTATCCCTTTGTAGCTCAAGAAACATTCAGTCCTTCGGTGATTGATCGGCCAATTGTGCCGTACAACGATCCACCAACCATTCCAACCGACGTGCAAAAGTCATCTTTGATCTCGTCTTTCAGCAGCAGCGAAAATGTCATTCAGTTGCGACAGCATCGGGATGCGAGTAGTGATCGAAGCACCCCTACCGAATTCAATCATCGAAATGTGCTGAAAACGTTCTCACCTACTTCGATGCACGAAAAGCCACTGCACAATCCAATGCTTGAGCCTCGATATCGGATGGGTCTATGTTTTCCCAATCGGTACGATGCGAACGGGAACGATCACCACCGGACGGAGACGCCTCCGTTGTTGAACAATGGCGGTGCGACGGGCCCGTCGAGTAAACAGGACAGTCCATTCTACGCTGATCCGGCCGATGTACTGAACAGTATTGTGAGGAGAAGTCCCTTCAACAGATCGACGATGTTGCCCAGCAATCAGAGGCATTCGGAGCCTCCGAAGCAGCACCTGATCGATGCCCATTCGCCGTTGATGTGGGCATCGGCGGAACAGGATATAAGGCAGAAGGTGCGTGTGCGATTGGGCCAATGTTATTCGGTTGGGACTAGGAGAAGTGTACCAGTTATGGGCAGGCGTGGAAAATCATTTGCATTCATTTCGTGCATTCATTTACATTCATTTGCTCCTAACTTTTCACATCAACAGGATTTCACAAAATGATGTATAGAGCTTGTGTAGGTTTTGTTGTTAGCTACAACTTTTGGTAAAAATTCAAATCCGTATCTCTTATGCATGACGAAACAGAGCGAATAGAACTCACTACTGTTTTTCAGTGAATGTATTTTATATTCACTGAAAAACAGTAATAAGTTCTGCCCGCTCTAATTCGTTATGCATAAGAGATACAGATTTGAATAACAAGCAAAAGTTGTAGTTAATAACAAAACCTACAAAAGTTTCATACATAATTTTGCGAAATGCTGTTGATGAAAAAAGTTAAATGCAAATGAATGTAAATGAATGCATGAAATGAATGTAAATGATTTTCCATGCCTGGTTACCCGAGCAAAGTCCAGCATCAAAATGACAGCAAATTGAAATCAAGTTTTGATATCAACATCAAACTGAAATCATAATTTGATTTCAGTTTACGCAATTGACAATTTTGATACCTAATTTTGTTTTCATTTTGCTGTACATTTGCTTTTAAAAAATTTGTTGTTGCGGGTTTGTTTTCATTGCCTTAGCATAACATCAAATTGAATACTTGTTTTGTTATCAACAGGAAAAATGGATATCAAATTTAGTTTTCCGTTTGCTTTCACTGATAGCAGAAATAGTTTTCAATGTGATGTCACAGGAAGATTTGTATGCTCTCAATTTTGATTTTTTAACCGTTAAAACGACCAAAACGACAGCAACCTGAGTAATCATTATCAGCGAAATCACAACATCAAATTTAGATTTCAATTTGATATCAGACTTTGCTCGGGTATGGCACTAATCCTCTAAAAAGCTTGAATTTTTAATAAAATTAAAAAATCCACAAGAAGTTAGTCTCCATGCTGTTCTGCATGACTATGTTGAAAAATATGTACTGTGGACCCTCGTTAATATGAACGAAACTTCGTGCATATTAACGGGGTTCATTTTTAATTTGAACTGCTAGTAGCCCTACGACCATCAGAAAAGCGAGTTTCTGGTAACCTTATTTGCTGTTTTGTTTTGATTCTGCGTTCCATTTCGGATCGTTCTATTTTACTTCACTCCATTCCATGTACTAAATGACATTTGAGCGACTTTTAGTTTGCATGGTGTGCAGATTAGCGGAGTTCAAACTTAGACGTGCTCAGATTAAAACGGTCAGATTACTGGGGGTCCACGGTATAAACTTATTTTGAACATGAGCTAGGTCGTATGTCTAATTAGGGGAGCACTAGTGCCATAACTGGCAGTGAATTTCTGCATTGTCGAATCACAGTCATTCCGTTCAAATGCAAATGCTTTCTAGGACGAATTAGTCAATTTATTGCATTGCATTGTGTGTCTATATCTCCACAGAATCTAATGGCGGCATCGCTCGATGAACTGAAAAATACCAGAAACATGCAACAACAACAGCAACAGCAGCATAGCAGACTAACTCAGACGGACAAGCTGAACTTTGAGCGGCTGTCGCTCGAGCAAACGGAAAACAATGACTATGATAATGACTTACGCTGGCTGAGTGAACAAACAAAACCCAAAACTCCCCAACTGACACCAATGGAAGCGATGGTCCAGAGGAATGTGAAAATACTGCAACCCGACGAATGCCGGACGGTAACCGTTCATCAGATAATAGCCAAACGATTGCCACATCTTGACTTGCCAGAATTCCCTTCGAACAGCAATGGGGCCGAGTCAAGCAGGACTCACTTAATTGAGAATAGCACCGGTACACTGACCAGAACTCAGCGAAAATCGGCTTATGACAATGTGGAGAAACAGGCTGCAGGTAAGATATGCGATGTTTATTCTGGTAACAGTACCATTGATTTGAGAATTTCCTAAACTAGGATATGCGACGTCCCTACTGAACAGTGCACAGTCCGACGACGGCACGGTATTCTCCGAACCGTGGGATAGTTCTCAATGGGACAGTTTTCTACCTCAGGACAGTAAGTTTTGAAATTTAGAAAGCAAATATCAGAACCGAACCAACATTTACCTTTTTCCGCTTCAGACAATGCCGATACCATGCCAGTGGGGGACGTCCACGGTGGTGGCGGTGGTAGACTATCCGAACGATGCGGATCACGGAATGAGCTGTCGTCCTATAACAGTATGTCGTTGCGTCGCGATGGAAGATCGAAAAAGTGCAATACCACGTCGCAGAAGGTTGCCACGATACTGCGGTCCAGAAGCTGCCGGGATCGAGAGATACTATGTGAGTTTTCGCTTCTAAGGGCTGTTGGCCTTATCAATTGCAATTAATTCGACAAACGAGCGATTTATCTGTACAAAGCAGTACGAACTTTATGGAAAAATTTCTAGCATGCATTCTTTTCCGTCTGACTTGTTTGAGTGTTCAGTGCAAACAATTAGTTTCTCGTTGGCTATGCTGTAGCTATAGTCGATGATTTCAAAAAAATGTCATGAATTTCTTATCAACTGTTAGGAAACACATCAAAGGACTATGGAAAAATTAGTCAGATAATGCTACTCGATTCCTTTTCCGTGTCATTTAATATTTAAAAATGCCACAAAACATTTGCAAATAAATCAAATTTTCACGGTGGAATGTATGGGAAAAATATAAACTTACATGGTTGGCAATGAAAGTATCGAAAAAGATTGAATGAACAGTTTTTCTACAATATTTTTGTTCGTTTTCCAAATAATTTGGAAACAGTAGGCTGCGGGATTTTGACATCTTTAAAAGAGGTGCACAACCAGGTGCCAGGCAACCATTACAAATTCTACAGCATTTGACAGTAGCCAAAATCTCGGGCTTTATTCCATTGGCTTTACGTGTTGTGGGCCAAATTTTACAGCTGGATATTAGCATCGAAATCATGACCACCAGCCAAGCCCGTGTGCACAACTTTGTCCGAGACGTCAAGTCTCCAGAATGTCAGAGTAAAAAGATAGATTGTGGTGCCATCTACGAGCTTCGAACAATCTGTTTCTGTCATCAGAGGGTCCTTATTGTAATGAGAAACTTCGCTGAAGATATCTAGTCACAGAAATGATTCGTCGGTCGATTGCAAGAAAATTGGAGACCGAAAAATGTGGATAACTGAGAGAAATTAATTATGACGAAAAAAAAAAAAGAATTGCCGACTAGACTCGAAATTACGATCGTTGAGATTATCAGACCTGTGCTTTATCCACTGCTCTCTACATGCTTCAAAACATAAATAGGCTAAAAGCGAATGAGAAGCGCTCATAGTACGATAATTTGATTCCGCATGCTTTTTCTGCTATAGGGAAATTGGATAGAATCGATGCAAGTTTGTGCGTCGTTCTACAATTTTGTAGATAAAAAGCTTGGTGGTCGAAAGCGAAGACAGAACACGAAATTAAAAGAAGATAACAAATCATTGGATCGTCTGCATGGCCAACTTATATCATTCTCTACGGTGTTCACTGCGGAGGATGATAGGAAATGCAACTAACATTGAATGTAACAAATTTTTGGTTTGGGTGTTTACTTCTAGATAGAGCTGGAACTAGAGCGTAACAGCTTTAGTAAACAATGACTTATCTCGATGATTTCTAGAAAGTAATAATCGCCCATGCAAATCAGCATGGCCATCGGGTAGATGAAAACTTGTTTTAGTGTGCGTTACGCCCTTATACTAGCTATATCTAGACTTGTATGAGGTTACCTAAACTTGTATGTAGCTTTCTGAACTTCTGTTATGATATCAAAGCATTTTTGAGGTTCCTTGAATTTTGTTTCGTTCTCTGGACATCTTATTAAATAGTAGGCATCGTGGACCCACGTTAATCTGAACGACACTTTGTGCATATTAAAGGGGTACATTTTTAATTTGAACTTCTATCCTACGACCATCAGAACAGCGTGTTTCTGGTAGACCTATTATCTGTTTTGTTTTGATCCTGCGTTCCGTTTCACATCGTTCCACTTGCACGGCGTGCAGATTAGCGGGACTTAAACTAAATAGTGTTCAGATTAAGTAGGTCAGATTACCGAAGGTCGATGGTATTGAAGTTCTCCAAATTTCCTGAATTTTTTTGGATCTTAATAAATGTTTCCAAACCATTTCAAACATTTCCTAAACTTTTCGGAAGTCCGTTAATTTTTTTCAAAGAATCCCAAACTACGCGGAGTTTTGTTCAATAGCTTATTATGGGAAGTCATTCACATTTTTCAAAAGTTCGGCCATTTTGAACAATGTAAAAAAGTTTAAAATGGCGTATTTTTTTCAACAAATCAAAACTCAAAAACTTCTATTCCAATGACGTCTGAGACAAAGTTGGAGCAATAAATAATAACGTGCCAGATTTGGAAATAATATTTTTGAATCTGGAAGTGTGTTTATGATACCATTATCCATTTGATAAAGGTAGAGTGAACATGCGGGGCTTATTGTAAGTAAAAGTGACCTCGGAGTGGTCGTGAATTACCAGGCATTCTGAAATGGGTCACTGGAGCTGCAATAGAGCTAACACCTTCTAACTCCCGGACTAAACCTGCTTTAATTTAAGGGTAATAAAAAGCAGTTTTCTTCCATAATAACACTGCCGGACAGTGGGGGTTAGATTGTACACACACACACACACACAACTTTGTCTCAAACGTCATTTTGATTGGAAGTGACATTTTTAGTTATGATATGTTGAAAAATATCGAATACGCAGTTTTGCCTTTTCTAGCATGATTCAAAATAACCGAAATGGGCCTATGTCCAAAACGTAAAGAAATCGGGTTTTGATACCATTCTTTAGCACCGCTTGATAGCCGAGGGGGACGACTCTATCTACGATGCAGAAAAGATTGTGTGTTTGGTGTGGCTAGCTGTGCGTACGCTCAGTAGATTGAAAGAAGATTGATGACGATTCTGAAGATTTCCTGCGAAAAGATGATGCGCGATGCAAGTAGATGCGAGAAATGAAAGAAGATTTTTCGAAGATTGATTCGCTAGTGTGAAATTTGTTGAGCATCTAGACTTGAGATTTAGATGTGTCACCTCTCTCGTTGATAGCTATTAATCGTGTAGGTAAGTTCCGTAAAATCGAGAAAAATCATTAAAAATAACTCGATTTTCGAAACGGCCGATCAACGAAATTTTTCGATTCATTAATAGGCACGCTAAAACCATAGAGGTAACTCTAAAACTAGAAGGTCCCGAAATAACGTGCTCAACTTTTTGGCTCAGCTCTGGTACTCTTTTCGGTCCCAAGCTAATCGATTCACCCCTCGAAACAGAGGAAATTTTATCTGTCAAACTTTCATAGCGAATCAAAACAAACATTGCGTAGCACTAGAATTTCGACTAGAATGCGGTACGTTAATCGTTTGCTTGGGACCAATAGGCTAGTCAAGAAGTGAACCAATTTAAAATCATTAGTTATCGTATTGCTAAACGGCCAACCATTCATTTATTTCATTTAATTGATAAGCCTAGTGACATAGAACGACCGATGATTGAAAATTTTCAAACCAAAGCTAGGCCCTACTGCTTTAGGCAGGGCCGATGATTTGTTTTGAATTTATTTGACGTTGCGAAAAGGCTTAGCAAAGGGCGTACCATTTCTGATGACAAGCACAACGGCTTAACAAAAAGGGCCTATCCATTGAAAGATTCACAAAAAGGCTTATTAATTTATGAAATTAAATTGTTATCGATTTTCATATATTTTTGAAAGTTTTCCGCATATTTTGGATGTTGTATACTGAGATACAGTTACTTTTGTTATTGTGAATAATATAAATGTCTAAAATACTACTCCTACACTTAAATGAAGTCCTTTCAAACTTCTCTGAAGTCCTTCCAAACTTCTTTGAGATGTTCCTTGAATCTTTCTGATAATCCCTAAACTGCAAGGGATTTTCTTGAGAATCGTTAAATTTCACTGATAAAGTCCATTGATCTTATTCAAACTTCAAGAAGTTCCTCAAACCTCTGCCAGGCAGCTCTGAATTTTACCCACATATATTTGGGATGTTCCCTGAGTTTTCTTAGATTTTCTTAAATGCAATGAAGTTCCTTCTACCTCTCTAAACTTCTCTAAACTTATCCGAGAAATTCTAGAACTAATGAAAATCGATTGAGCGGTGTGAAGTAAAATTGATAAGGTAATATAAATGAACTTTTGGGTGCTTTAGCGAACTTTTACGCTATCTTATCTGAACACAATTCTTCCTACAGGGAATTTGGTCAATTCATGAAGCAAATCAGGGTGAATGATATTAAGAAACGAAAAGTGCCAACCCAACAAACAATTTTAGCTGCAGGTTAACTTATACAGGCAAAAATTAGCTGCATAAGGCAAATTTTGGCTGTATAAGCTAATCTGCAGCTAAAATTGTTTGTTGGGAATATACCTTTTTGACGTTTAATCCTCTTACTCTTTATAGCACACGGGGATGGATTGCTTCATTGTTATCGCACAAATTTGTTTTCCTCTTGCTCGCACTTCTTCGATTTAGATGGTGCAGTAGTGTGGGCCGATAAAATGACAAAAAGCCATATAGGTTAAAGCCTATACAAATACATACCAACATATGCACATTAGGGTGGCCCAAAATTACACTTTGTTTGGAAACCTCGGAGCTCAACCTCGAAATGATAGCTAAGGATGACACGCAACGTGATTAAGAGGTGGGATACCTGAGATGAGATTTTTTGAAAAAAGTCGAATTTTCATAGTCATTGACATACATATGTTTAATGCATCAACCCTTTTATATTTTTAACACATTCCTTAGGGGCCCTATTATATAAGAAAAATTGTAACGGCCTGCTATTTTGATACCCCATTTGTTCATGATATTTTTATGTGGCTAATGACTACTACTGATAGCTATACATACATTCTTCATGATTTTTTGTAATCGTATTTTTGCATATTTTCGATAATTTTTACCCTTCTTTTTCGCTTGAAAAAGGGGAGGGCAGAGTATCATATACCAATCAACTAAGTTAGACACGATCGGACAATCTCTGTGTGTGAATGTGTTTCTGTGACGAAATAAAGTAAGTCGTGTGTCTTGGCAAACAGTAGACTGAATCGAACGCAACAACCGCCACATGAAAGGTATTGTAGTCCCATAGAACGTTATTGAATATGTTTGGAAACCACACAAAATCGATATCGGCTCAATGCAAAACTCATGGGTCAATTAGCTTTCTTGGGATTCTTCTCGGATGAGTTTTGGGATATCTATTGGGATCGGTACTTACTGTAATTACCCAA